GAGCCACCCCTCATTTCTTTATATTTTGCTTCCAAGCAAAAATTGGTGTTTAACAATAGTTCTCCATGCTGCACCTAGATCCCATTTTCCAAATAAAAATAGAACTCAAGACTTTTTAGCGAATAGCCCAGTATACAATCCCAGACAAACTGCACTTTGGTGACCTTTAGAGATACTAGTTGGTTTTACATAGACAAGGTAAAACATTTCTTTATTTCTATCTATGCAAAGCTAAGTTATCCACCTGCTACATACAAACCACTCACACATAAAACTTGTATCTTTTTATTTTGTTTTTTTATTAGAAAGACAGCATAATACTACATCTCTAGACTGCAATTTCAACGACCGCAACCGTTTTTGTTCCTGATTAAGGAGGGAAACATTTTTGGGTCTGCCACGAAAGATTCCTACTGTATGTAAGTGACGTCACTTTACTTCAACATGGAGGGCCATATGAAGAGAATCAAGAGGGGGGGGGGGGGGGGTAAACTGCAGTTAAGGTTACAGTACTTGGTTGTAAATTTAGCAGTACCTGTGTCTACCTGTCCTGCCTGGTAGACTGAAAGATAAACGTCTGTAAAGAGAGAGAGAGAAAGAAGAATGGAAAGAACTGGACAGGGTCAGGAAAAAGAGGAATGAGGAATGTTAAAGCAGATTAAAGTAATTACAGTTTATCTCCACAGAAAAAAAGTGATAGGACCTATCATACACCACAACTGTAAACTGTATACTACAATTATGTATAGCTGCGATATATAGAGATGTTACGTGACAAGAACGTGCATTTTGAAATGCGATTAATATCATAATCGTTCCTTGCCAGTCGTGGAGAAGAGCGGCTCGTTCCTCGGTCTCCAGAGACTGACCTATAATAGAACGGTGCCACTTTCAATTAGCATCAGTGTGATAAACAAACTCTGTGGTCTACGATAGGTCCAAGAGGGAAGAGACAGAGCAGCTCAGATGATCGTAGAACAGTAAAAGATCTGCTTACAGAAGGTCAATCGAAAAGGAAGAGTCTGTCTGGTTAAAAGCACACAATGCAGCTCAGATTATTAAAAAATATATACACTTTAAAAAGAAAAAAGAAAAAAGGAAATCTACTGTTAGAGCACACAATTAATCAGCCAGTTAAAAACCTGAACATGAAACCCTTCAGTTTGTCAAGGAAGCAAACAAAGTAGAAACAAATTTGTGTGACTTTGTGACTTTCGCTGTAAAACAGGATTTCACCAAAACTCTGACTCAATGCTGATACATTACTGCAGCGTGCTGCAAGTACTTTGGAAACAAAGGGCCAAATCATTAGTGCAGTTCGATTTTAGGACTATCAGATGCTACAATCCACATTATTTTGCAAATAAGTGATTTCATAAAATTGTCTCTGGCTGTCTGTCAAATTAAACTTTTCAATTCGTAAAATGAATGTTTCTCTGCTAGCAAAAGCTGTGTGCAAAGCAAAGCAATGTCGTTGCATAGAGCAGTTATCTAAGCAAGGACACTGGCTTGTAGATGCAAGAAAACAAGTCTGAAAA